CTCTATTTATAGAGCCAAAAACCAACGGATAAATACTTGAAACTAGGAAGTGCAGCCACTAACTCCTATAGACCAGGTAAAGCCAAAACAAACTAAAACCACTAAAACAAACTCCTGTTGACATGGTCAACTAAGAAATTAGCAAATATTTCCAACAAATTCAACCACACTCCAATAATTTTCCAATCCCTTACCAGTTATTCAATTTAAAATTTTAAATGATAGCAATTACATTTTTCTACTAACTGTCCTTTATGAGTTAGTACTTCAATGCCTTTTTGAGGCTTCTCAATCTCCGACAGTTAGTCATAAAAGGGAAAAAAAACTCTGTATTATTATAAATTTACATCTCTTCCTTCCTGTACATCTTAATCATAGTATTAAATATCTCGAATTCTTGAAAGAAAATTATTGAATTTCAATAACAAAACCAGATTTCCATCCTCGTAAACGTTTACTTCTCCTCGTTCGTTAATTATTGTATCTTACTACCTCAAACAATGAAACAAATACAATGGCTAGAAAAATTGTAGCCCAGCGCACAGATTCTCATCAAAGCATTTTCTTCAGGGATTCCATATTATGTTCTTATTTCAATAACAATACATCTATCAAAATTTAGTCCTTGGGTTAGCTGACTAAATTGGGAAGAATATAAAAAACATCAGGAACTTTATAGAAAGAAGAAGATCTCGGGACTTCACAGGTTCAATCTTTATAACTTGATAATGAAGAGATAAACTCAACTGGTTTAAAATAAAGATTAATCAAAACAAAATATTGTATAAGACAAAATAAAATCCCATGCAAAAAATTTACTGTAGCAACATTCTAACCTAGAGAAGATGAAGGGTTTGAGAGATTGTCTAACTACCTTGGGTCCTTAGACTTGAGAGGAAGTGAGAGATGGAGAGAGAGAATGAGATTGTGAACAAGAACTTCGACACGGCATGACGGCAACCTTTATTCTCACCCCTAATTCTAACTTCTAAAATCTGAATGGTGGGTTGTAGGTTATCGCCTCTACTGCCTGGGAATTGGAATCTAGGAAGTGGGCAGTCAGCTAGGCTTTTAATTTTAGGGAAAAAAATCACATATGATATACCCCAATTAAAAAATATCATTTCCTATTATACTGCTGAATTAAATATGTATTACTAATGGGGTTAATTTCACAAATGGTCAGTGAAATTATACGGAAATTATAAAATGGTCACTGAAGTTTAAAACTAGCAGAAATGGTCACTCAACTTTCACGCATGCAAAATTCATATAAAACCCAAAACCATTCACTCTTCCAAATCCTCTCAGCCTTTAGACCACCATAACTCCAAACTCTGGCCACCGACCAACATATCGTCTTGAAGCCCTCAATGTCCTCTTCACAAATCACCCAACCAGTGGTCGTAATCCCGTCGAAATTGGTCGAAAAATCGTACCAAAGTGGGCTGCCCACGCACCCAAAACCATTCACTCCTCCAAATTCTCTCAACATTTGGACCACCATAACTCCAACCTCCAACCACCTTGGCCATTGACCAACATATTGTCTTGAAGCCCTCAATGTCCTCTTCACAACCCACCCAACCACTAGTCGTAATCTCGTCGGAATTGGCTGAAAAATAGCACCAAAGTGGGTTGCCCACGCACCCTAAACCATTCCCTCTTCCAAATTTTCTCAACCACCCTCTTTTGGACGACCATAACTCCAACCTCTGGCCACCGATCAACATACCGTCTTAAAGCCCTCAATTTTCTCTTCATAACCCATCCAACCACTGGCCGTAATCCCGTCGAAATTGATCGAAAAATAGCACCAAAGTGGGCTGCCCACGGACTATAATCCAAATCGACAACATTCACCGCCACATTTGGACCACCAAAAACCCAACCTCCGGTAACCTTGGATGCCAGACCAACATACCACCTTAAAGCCCTCATCGCCCTCTTCACAACCCACCCAACCACTAGCCCCAACTCCGACAGATTTGGCCGAAAATTTCATCCAAAACCAGATGAACAAGCACCGAAAACTGGTTGGAAAATCAACTTCCGGCGACACCTATGTCATACCCACCCCACAGGTCGAACAACCTCCTTATTACGCACCTACACATGCCTTTATAACATCAACCAAATCAGGAAATCCATAGATATGCAGAATTTTTCCACCACGGCGATTTCGACCCCTTCAACCGCGAATTCTGGCGTTGGCGATGCAACTCACGGCCGCGGACCACCATCCCTAGCACCATCCCACCATGGCGCATCCACCGAATACATGAGTCTTGGCCAATTTCGAACGAACAAGGATGAATTTCGCATGACAAATTTTTCCTCCACAGTGCAGTCGGTCCTTTCAACCACGATTTTCGGCTACGGCATCGCAACTCATGGTGGCGGACCACCACGCCTAGCAATGGCCCACCATGGAAAATCCGTCGAACATATGGGTCTTGGTCAATTTAGAACGAAAAAGGATGAATTTCGCATGGCAGATCGTCTTCAGTTCCAATTTCCCAATCAATTGAAGGACCTAATTTGCACTTGAGGTCTTCCATCTTTTAAATGACCATATTTTGGTGCTTTAGGCTTCAATTAAAACATAAAATCCCTAAATCTAACTTCAATGACCATTTCTGAAACCGTTTTAAACTTCGATGACCGTTTTGTAATTTTTATGTAACTTCAGTGACCTTTTGTGAAATTAACCCATTACTGATACTATATAATTACATAAATAATACCCAAAATATTGACATAGATACCTTCCATTTAGACGAATTATAACTGAAAGATTGAATTGGCAAACATCGCGCAACACA